ACGAACTTATCTGCTAAGGGGGTCTCAGGGGACATGGTGCTCAGGTTTCTCTCTTTGGCAATGCTCAGTTGTACCCTAGCCTGGTCATACCAAAATCTCAAAGACTATCCTCTCTTTCAAGGGTGCCACATTTTGTTCTGTTCTGTTTTGTTTTTGCTACACAGCACATGCAACCACCAAAGAGAGAGACACAGAGGGAGAGAAAGGGGGAAAGTGAGAAATCACCACCCAGGGGGATGGCCATGTCATGACCCCTTCTCCTCCATTCTCTTAAGATTTTGAGCATGCACACACATGCATTCAGGGTGTTTTCAGGTCACTGGCTCTGGAACTTGAACTGCTCTATCAGCCATATGGGATCGAATGCCTTAACCTCCACACCACTGCCTGGCCCAGTCACCACATCTTTTACTTCTCACTTACATCGCACATCCCATCCCCTTTTGCACTTGACAGAGCAGCTACCAGAACAGACTAACCTGGCCACTGCCCTGCATCCCAGAACAGTGGATCCGCTCCACTGCCTAGACCCTTGGAGATTGCAACACCTACCTTCCTGACCTCTCCTAATCACTTGAGGGTGTAGTCTTCTTGCTCCTGCTGGCTGGCTCAAGGCACTTCAGCAAGCCTCCCACCCCCAGAACCTCCACCTCTGTTCAAACCTACCTTCAGATTTCAGGGGTTATAGTACAGCAACTTCCCATTTCCTCCAAATAAAGGCATAGTGAGGTAACAGCATTCTGCTCTCTTAACTCTGAGGCTAACTAAATTCTCTCTCCAAAAAAAAAAAAAAATCCTCTCATCTGTCCCAGAGACTAAATGTGTGTGTAATTTCCTGAGAGTAAGGACATTTCAGTTGGAAGCCTTCTGGTAATCATGACTCCATATTTGTGGGCCAGGTTGCTGCTAACTTGTTTCTTTCATCCTGATATCTGGTACACTTCTGTTACACTAAGTTGTTGTTCATCTTGTCTCTAAGTTTTAGGGCGACAATCTCTTCTTACTGAGATTACCTCATCTAATGTATATTACATGTGGTCTCTTACTCATCCGTAAATTCTCAACCTCAACAGCAATTCCCTTCCTTCCCCATCCTGACGTACGTACAACTACCGTGTTCTTTCAGTTCCTCTCACACCCCTTTGTTTGCCACTGCATCTTCAGCACTCATCATAACATCAGAATATATCTTGTTCTTAATAAATATCTTTTAATATATCCCCCACTGAGTCACTGGAAATAATGAAACAAGATATCTTAAAGGAATGGTTGATGTTTCTAGTAATAGTATCCTATGAAGTTAACCAATAGCAACTTAAAAAAAGAAGAAGAAATCAATGTAAATAATTCAGTTCTAAAAGCCAAAAATAAATGGCAGCACAAGTACAAACACAATTTTTAATATTCGCAAAATTCAAGTCAAATAAAATTTTTTTACGTTTAGTGAAATACAAGTATTTTTTCCTGCCACAACTCTTAATATTGCAATTGATATTTTGCTGTTCTTAGCTTCCTCTCTCTCTTTTTTATTAAGATTTTTGTCATAGGGTGCATGCACTCACCAGAGAGAAACAGAGAGTCAGTGAGAGGGAAAGTGAGAAATCACTCCATGGGCGGTTGGCCATGACACAATCCCTTCTGCTCCATTTTCCTCCTGAGATTTTGGACACACACACACACACACACACACATCCAGCATGATTTTCAAGCTGCATTTTCAAGCTCCAGGATTCAAACTGTGATTGGCCATGTGGGAGTCCGTCTTGTAACCACCACGCCACACCTGGCCCCTGTTCTTAGCTTTCTGGGTAAACCAAATTAAAAAAATATATATCAATTGCTAAAGACTATCTATATGAGAGACTGTGAATATAATCCAAACACTATGCATATAAATCAAATGGAGGGTTAATGTCAGTGACGGTTTATGCTACTTGCCTCTGATAGAACCCTCGATTATTGGTTTTTTGGAGAATGTGATGCTCTAAAAAGATAGATGGATCATTAACTTTATTGATTCTTTACATAAAAGACTATAATTGTGATTTAAAAAAAGGAAAACAGTTGTAGCTGCAGTGACGTGACGGTAGTAAACACTAGTATCTCGTGATGGACTCTCACATGCCAGTTATAACTGCAGACATGTCGTGTACATCAATTCTGGCAATCCTTGCAACCCTTTGAGGTAGGCATTATTCGATCATCATCTCCACTGCATATGAAATGAACAAAAAAGCTTCAGTTGCTTGCAGAGATCACACAGAGATGGAGCACAGAGCCAGGCCTTCCCTCCAGGAAGCCTGGTTCCAAGCACACACTCTCAACATGGAGCCTCTGTTTCCAAGGAGCCTCCCAGAGATGAGAACAGTTGGAGAACACTGAACATCTCACATGAGACTGTGAAGAGTTAGCAGGTACCTGTTCACATTGTGTGATGGTCAAGTCAGAGTATTTGTCACATTCATCACCTCGAATAGTTACCTTTTTTTTTTTGTAATGAGAACATTAAAAATCCTCTCTTTTTTGATTATTTTAAAGAATGCAATACAGCATGTATCACCTATAACACAATACAGTCACCCTACTGAGCAACAGAACACCAGAATTTATTACTCATTTCTTTTTTTTTTTATTTTTAATTTTACCAAAGGGCACATGTGCTCACCAGAGAGAGACAGAGAAAGACAAATGGGAGAGACACCACAATGGGTTACAGCACATCGCAATCTCTTCCTCTCTCTCTTTCCCCCCTTTGAGGATTTTGGGTATGCATGCACACACTCCTAAAATGTTTTTTAAGCCACCACATCTAAGACTGGAACTACGTGGTTGGCCATGTGGGATCCAGTCTCCTTAATCACTAGGCTATGGGCTGGCCTTATTCCTTCTGTAATTTTGAACCCACTGACCAATCTTTCCTCATCCTTCTTCTCCTCCCCCCTCTCCAGTTTTTGGCAATGCTATACCCCATAAATAGGTACACTTATTATGTACCAATTAAAAAAAATTTTAAAGAGTTTGTAGAAAAGGCCAGTTAAGCACCAGACTGAAGCAAGCGGATGAACAGGGGTGGGAAAGCCCCCACCTCTTAGAGGAAATGCTATCATACAATGGACAGCAAAAAGAAAGGAAGGTCACTAAAGTCTCCTTTCTTTGAATCTTCACTCATTCCACAAAATGAATGAGTGAATGAAGCATGAAGGGCAATCATCGAAGATCTGGAAAAGTTAAAACATTTGTAAAAGTAGAAAAGAAGCAGATTGGAGGGGAACCAATTCTCTAATTCCTGTTGAATAACTAGACTGAATTTTTGTAGAGCTTACAGAGGTGATCATGAAATCCATCCATGTTTGTTTAGAGTAAGGAGATTTAGAAATGCTAGAAGAACAACTCAACAAATATTTGGAAATGTTTAAAGAGAGAGAAATCTAGACTCCAGAAATTATAGCCATATACATTAGCATACAAGGTTCTCCCAAAAGTTTATAGACAACACAAATTACTTAAAAACTATGCGTTGAGTTTAAAAAATTCTGTACCAAAATAAACTTGTACTTTAATTCCATTTTCCATGAACATTTTGAAGTATCATTATTTAATCTCTAGAATGTTAGAAGACATAATATTATGTTATAGATATAATCCATGGAGATAGTAGAGACTACTAAATCCTTCATTTGTGAGAATTGTATTCACTCAAAAATTCTTATTGACTACCTTGTAAATGCCTTCTTGAAGCTTATGTTTTAAGGAGATGGTGGTTATTGGCAATAAACAATGGAATATATGGAGGAAATTAAGTACTATTGTATGCACCCAAAACAGGTTAAAGGATGCTGTTTTAGATGGTCAGGAAGGTCCCTCTGCTAAGGTGGTTTTTGAAAATGAACCTTTTAGGAAGAAATGAAGACATGGGTTTATGTAGGGAGAAAGAGATTCAGGTAGTGGAAAGTGCGAGTCCAATGGTCCTGTGGTAAGAGAGTGCTTGATCAGTTCCCAGAACAGGAAAGAAGTCCATGTAGCTGGAGTACAGGGAGGAAGGAAGAAAATTTCACAATCGATATCTACGAAGGAAGAGAGGCCCTGCTTATGAGAACCCACAGGCACTGTAGGAACTTAGCTTTTACAGTGAGGGAGAGCCCTGGCCCTGAAGGGCTTGGACAGAACAATGGTATGATCTAAGTTCTACATATATTTTTGAGATAATTATTGTTGCTTTGTGGAGAATGGGGTAAGAGAGTGGAGGTAGAAAACAGAACAGTTAAAAGGCTTCTGCAATAATCCAGGCCAGTATTCCTCTTCCCCATCCTGTCATGGAGAGGGGCTGATCTTCTTCATGTTAACACTCCTCTTGGCAACCACAGTGCTTGGCATAAAGCATGGTTAAATGAAACCCTTGGCAATGGCAACTAAAACTGCAATCCTACCCTGGAGCCAGGAGAGAAACCATGCCCTTGTCTATATTAAAAACATGTTCTACAATAAAAGTCCTGCCTCAGAGGTGAAGGAGGAATGCAAATAGAAAGTGACACCATTTCAGGCTTCAGTTCAAGACCACCTGCTTTGCCTGCTGCTGATTCCCTTGAAACCCATAAGCAAATCTTATTCTCTCTCACCCACACAGGTCCATATAGACATGCAAAACTTGACCTGGGAAACTGAGACCCTGTCTTGTTTGCATCCCTGATGCTGAAACGAGGCCTTCTGGAAAGGGTGTTGTGCAGGAGTGCTTGGATCTATTACAAGCTTCTGTGTCACCCCAGAGGTAGAAGCATTAGTCTTCTACCTTTATGACGGGCCCTTGTACATATCCAAGAAATATTCTAAAGCAACAACAGCCCTTTAAGTTTCCTGCCATTACTTTTCATGTATCCACTTGGGGATAGATCCAGGGCCAGAGATGCTTTGTGAAGGAATGGTCCTGGCTCCAAACATACACTTCCCCTTCGTTGCTGGGTGGTGTCCCAGTGAAATAGATCAGCAAGTAGAGAAGAGACATCATGTTGACTCTGACTCCCGTCGTAACTGTGTCCTATGAAGTCAAGAATGCATTTCTGTTCCTTTCAATCCTGGAGTTTGCAGTGGGGATCCTGGTCAATACCTTTATTTTCTTGGTGAATTTTTGGGATGTTGTAAAGAGACAGCCACTGAGCAGCTGTGACCTTGTGCTGTTCTGTCTCAGCATCACCCGGCTTTTTCTGCATGGGCTGCTGTTTCTGAGTGCCATCCAGCTTACCCACTTCCAGCAGATGAAAGACCCCCTGAACCACAGCTACCAAACCATCATCATGCTCTGGATGATTGTAAACCAACTCGGCCTCTGGTTCGCCACCTGCCTCAGTCTTCTCTATTGTTCAAAGGTGGTTCGTTTCTCTCACACCTTCCTGCTCTGCTTGGCACGCTGGATCCCCAGGAAGATTCCCCAGATGCTCCTGGGTACTATTCTTCTCTCTTGCATCTGCACTGCCTTCTGTTTGTGGGACTTTTTTAGAAGATCACACTCCACAGTCACATCTATCCCATTCGTGAATAATACAGAATTCAACTTGCAGATTACAAAACTCAACCTTTTTTATTCTGTTCTCTTCTGCAATCTAGGGTCTATCGCCCCTTTCCTATTTTTTCTCATTTCTTCTGGAGTGCTCATTGTCTCTCTGTGGAGGCACATGGAGACAATGAAAGCCCAAACCAGCGGTTCTCGTGACCCCAGCCTAGAGGCTCACATCAAAGCCCTCACGTCTCTTGTCTCCTTTTTCTGCTTTTATGTGGTGTCATTCTGCACTGCCCTCCTCTCGGTGCCCTTATTGATGCTGTGGCACAACAAGATAGGGGTGATGGTCTGTTTAGGGATGATGGCAGCGTGTCCCTCTGGACACGCAGCCATCCTGATCTCAGGCAATCCCAAGCTGAGAAGAGCTGTGGAGACAATACGACTCTGGGCTCAGAGCAACCTAAAGCTGGGAGCAGACCACAAGGCAGATCCCAGGGCACTTTGCTGAGAACAGAACATGAAATACCTCTGATTCTGCATGAATTTTTTTTTTGAGAGGTGTTTACTATAGAGCATGTGCGCTCGCCAGAAAGACAGAGAGAGACAGAGAGACAGAAAGCGAGAAATCACCCCCCAAGGGGGGGTGGCCACACCACAATCCTTTCTCCTTCATTCTCCTCTTGGGATCTTGGGCATGCACACACACGCACCCGGCGTGAGTTTAAGCCATGGGTTCTGGGACTTGAACTGCAGTCAACTACATGGGAGCCCAGTGACATAGCCATTACGCCAACTGCTGGTTCCTCTGCATGAATATGCTTCTAATTGCTCATGAATATACCTCTAATTATTCACAGAGCCTTCTGACTTATTCCATTAAACATAACTCAAAGACTGTCCACTTTTTACATCAATGGACTCACCCATAAAACAGTAAAACTTACATGATGTAGGCAAGTAGAATGGTGTTAGTTCTCTGGATCTATTTTAATAGAATGAACAAAATTGAGAAGTGAGGTATTTATGGTAATTTTTCTTATATACTATAGCTTGTTATCATGTGTTGTGAGCCCAACCATAAGAAATCACCTCTTCTGAAATATCTAAATATCAAGATAAAACAATTGGCTTTGCATGACTGCCAATTCTCTTTCTCCTAACTGGTGCTAACATAACTCATGGTTGACAATGCTCACTACTATGGCAATTAAATAATCCTCTTCAAACTCCACAGCTTTTATGGAAGCATAAGATATTAAAAGGTAAATGGTTAAGTGATTATGCCACAGTTTTAGCTTCAAGAATTTTTATATTAATTTTTCAAGACCAGAGAATGGGGTCATTTTCATAAACTTATTTGTATGTCTTTATTGCTAACATTATAGTTTTGAGATTCATCCATAATAATATATGAGTCAAAACTTGTTTATATACTCATTATTGATGAATATTTGCATTGTTGATGGCTTGGCTCTCTTATGAATAAAGTTTCTATAAACATTCTTCAATTCATATTATAGAAGACATAATTTTCATTTGCCTTAGGTAAAAAAAATCTTGGTCTGAAATTACTGTGTCATAAAATGTATGTACATGTAATTTTATAAGAAATTGCTAGAGTTTTCCAAAGTGTTTCTAACATTTTACAGTCCCATAAATGATGTAAAGGAGTTGTCCTACCTTTTAAAAAAATTTTATTTATTTACATTTAATCACATGTCTTTACAGAGTACAACATTTCTGTTTCCAGCACAAATACCATGCATGTCAGTCAAGACAAAGATACTACTATAAACATTATCATCAGCAAATAGCTTCTCAACGGAGCTGTTCTACATTCTCACTGACATTTGGCATTGTCAGACTATTTAATTTAGGTCAATGTAGTGAGATTAAAATGGTACCTCATTGTGCTTTTAATTCACATTATCCTGACAGCTAGTGATATGGACCACGTTTTTATGTACTTCTTGTATATTTATTGTCTTCTATTATAAAGTAACTACTTGATTTGTTTGCATGTTTTTTTATATTGAATTGTCTTTTTACAGTTGATTTCTAGGAATTTAGTGATTTTTAGGATTTGTATTTGTGTGTGTGTGCATATATGTACCTATAGATAGATTTTTATAAAACTTATTTTATATATAACTCCTAGATACATATATATATGTATGTATGTATACACACACATATACACAACTCATATTTTTATATTGACTTGTCTTTTTCTTATTGGTTTTATAAGTTTATTGATTTGTATATGTGTGTATGTGTATTTTATATGTGTGTGTGTGTGTATGTACACACACACAGTTACCTGCATGTATGAATATATTTATGTGTATATATTGATATATAGAGATAGATGTATATATTCTGCATACAAGTCCTTTATCTGACACATGAATTATGGATCAACCTGACTGTGATCTGTCTTTCCACTTTATTAATAATGTATTGCTGAGCAGAAATTTTTAATTTTAACACAATCCAAATTACCATTTTCTTCTTCAATGTTTGTGCTTTTTTGTGTCTCCTCTAAGAAACATCTGCCTATCTCTAAAATGCAAAAATAGTATCCTATGACTTCTTGTAGAATTTTAATAGTTTTCAGTCTTATGCTTGGGACTATAAATCATCTTGATTTACTAATTGTATATCATGTTAACAAGGTTTAAACTTTACTTTTTCAAGATGTCTCTTCAGGTATTCCAGTATCATTTGCTGAAGATTTTAATTTCCTCATTGAATTGACTTGACGCCCTTGTCAAAAATCACATGAATAGGGACCAGCAGTTGGCATAATGGCTATGTTGCTGGACTCCCATGTAGTCGACTGTGGTTCGAGTCCTGTACTCAGTGGCTTGAACTCACATGGGGCATGTGTACATGCATGCCCAAGATCCCAAGAGAAGAATGGAGGAGAAGGAATTGCAGCGTGGCCATCCCCCCCTGGGGGGGTGATTTCTCGCTTTCTATCTCTCTGTCTCTCTCTTCCTTTCTGGCAAGTGCACGCACCCTATAGCAAAAGTCTCTCCAAAAAAAAAAAAAA